CATCAACCCCTGACAAACATAACTCGTTACTGCATTGGAGTCAGGCCCTCCCACAAGGGCTTCGGGTTGCTTGCGTTGGTTTCCGCAAATATTTACAGTAGTACTGAATCAAATAGAGATTCTCTTGGTTCCTTTGCTACACGTTGGTAGCATGTTCGTTTTGTCCCATGAGTCTCTGCCTCGTCGCGCTCGCGCGCTGGCTCCTTTCGCATGCCGGAAATGTCGGCCGGAGCTTGGCGCCATGCTCACTCGTCTCAGTGAGTGCGGTTGGTTCCCTGCGAGAACAAGCGCTGGGAGCATGGGGTCACGGGTAATGCCAGGCTCATTTCTTGAGGTGCAAGACCTGCCTCAAGTACTGACAACAAATGAACACATCGTAGGTTGATGAACAAGCCTACTCCTGCCAAGGGATGGCTTCATTTACACGCGGAAAGGGACTCTATCTGGCTGTGCTTCATGCCTCTACCCCATGACTTTTGCGTATACAACATGAACAGTTGTTTGACTATTGTTTGGTTTGGTTGCTTGGTTGGTTGTTTGTTTGGTTGCTTTACAGTTTGGCTGATTGCTTGCTTGATGCCTTTTTGCCTTTGCTTGGTCAGCATGTTAGCTTGTGTTTGTTTGTTTGTTTGTTTGTTTGTTTGTTTGTTTGTGCGTTTGTTTGTTTGTGCGTTTGTTAGTTAGTTAGTTAGTTAGTTAGTTAGTTAGTTAGTTAGTTGTTTTTGCTTGAATTTTCGTTTATTTGTTTGTTCGTTCGTCCTGGGCAGGTTTGGTAATATTAGCTGGGTTGGTCAGCAGGTTTGGTTGATTGGGTCGATTGTGGTGCTTGCTTGCTGGCTTGCCTCCTGCCTGACTGTCTCATTGTGTTGCTTTAAAGTTCTCTTCATTGCGTGTGGTTTCCCCGTGTTTTTTTGTTCTTTTTCTCTTTTACATGCTTCGTTCTTTCCCTGCTGATTTCGAAGTGAGTGGTGTTCGTAACATGTAATTGGAATTGCAATACCCGCAATCACATGATCGCACAGCGCATCTTGACTGGTCTGGATCAGGTGTTTGAAGGTTCAGGACCGGCTGCAATGGGAGCGGACAGAACTGCAAACAGCCAATAACACCATGAATCTGCTTAGCACAGGAGACCCCAGCTTGTTGCTTGGGCCAGCCCTTCAGCTTGTGCCGCCAGTTCAGTTTCAAAAGAAAGCACAAGCCAAAGTTTGCTGCGGCTGACTCAGGGTGATAATGGCAGTGCTTCTGCATTAGGGTGGTGTTGGCGGTGGTGGTGGTGGGTTGCGATTGGTGGGTTGCGATTGGTGGGTTGTGATTGGGGGGTGGTGGGTGATGGGTAGGTGGATGGTAATTTGGTGGAAATGATCGAGTGCATGCCTGCAGCCGCTACATTGCTGCTCTGGAGAGTATGCGTCGTGTCAAGAATAAACAAACACAGTTGAAGTGCCTTGAAACAAACAAGGCCAGGTCATCATCAGAGCGCCAAATGGCAGCTAATGTCACAAACACATGCCAACAAGTCAGACGGGCCAAACTCCACTATGTGATCCATCATCCAAGGATCTAGAATTGACTTTCCAGAAAATAGATTTGCTTGAATTGCCACTTACTTGTTGTTGAGTCAGCTGGAAGCACATCAGAATCCCAGCAAACATTCGGAAGCGCTCATTCTTCAACACACCCACGGTTTGGGCCAAAACGGAAGCTCATGAGCCCCTTCCGCCAAAAGTCCCTTCCGATGGAGCTGGGAATTTCTTTTTGAGGCCACTAGGCTAGATGTGCTCAAAAACACCAGGGCCCCTGAAAACTTGGAGTCTTCACGCATCCCAGACGAAAGCCTGAATGTGTGAGCGGCAATTCATCAAAGCCATCTCAGCAGTCAGCGTGTCTTCCTGGCGCGGAACAACACGGATATAGTGAGTTGAAGATGCCTTTGACTCCTAGTGCTGTTGAAGATGCTCTATGCTGCGATCCCCAAATAGACAGGTCCAACTCATCGCATTCCTACCAGGGCAACTCCCTGATTAGTTCGCAGGCAAGCCCAAACCAATGATCTTTTTGCCTGAGCACCTGCAATCATGTCCGGAGAAAGGCGACGGTGTCCTGCCCAGCCCAAACAGCAACATATTAAATTACATACATTCCAAATAAAAGCAAGAAACAGCCTTGCCTGTGTTTACACGCTGTTCAACAAGCACGGGTGTTTACAATTGGATCGCACTCACTGCACTCCGATTGGCCAAACAGAGGCTTTGAAAGGAATGGAACAAAGTAAAGAGGACCAAACAAGAATGAAGCTCTTCGAAACTTAGCCCACCTGGGAAAGACGCATCTAGTCATTCTTCGTGACTCGATTGGTGAGAAAAACAAAACAACAACCGCTTTCTCCTCTCCGGGTTTCTGACATAGGTGTCCTTTTAGGGGAAATAGATGGCCCTCGATTAAACCACCAGGTCCAAAAAGGACACCTATGGTTTCTGATCTAAGATCTGCTTAAACCTGCTGGGCACACGTGATCCGTACCCAAGGTGCGTGCTCGTCCGCTGGCCGCGGCCTCAGGCGGCAACAAAAATCCAACGGCTGTAGCGGGTGCCATTTGGAGGCCTATGGGAAAAATGTAAACCACTCTGGCTGTGGGTCAAAACCTAAGGTGCCTTTTTCGGGATGGTTACCACTCCACTGTTGTCTTTTTGGAGGCTTTCTGGGTGTTCACCGGGGCACCGGGGTTTTGACCCATAGCCATATGGCTGTGCGTCAAAAATGGGTACCTAAAATGGAACCCTGGTAAATGGCAGCAAAGACTGAAGCCGCGTCACCCTAGCTCTTTAGTTTTGAGCCACACCCACATGGGTCCCATACCTTTCCATTTGGTTAAGACCCCTGGAAAAAATGAACCATTTGCCAGTAGTGATAAATTCCTTTTACAACCAACAAGGGAAAACAAACACATTTGAGCCACAATAAAAACCCGGGTAGATGAAGGTTAGCAAGGGACGATTACCATGAATAGCTGCGGCCGCCTTCTTAATCCTGTACATGGTTCTGGGTAGACCATTTTAGTACCAGGTTTTGATTGCGACTCCCATGTTCTTAAGCAAATGGAAGTTAAGTAGTTTCCAACGACAAAAGGACAACGGCACCGCAGTCTCTTTGGCCTTGTAGAAGTCCGCTGCTTCCTCCAGCTTTCCCTGCTCCTGGCGATGCCCTACCGCTCCTACACTTCCTGCTGTACATGAACAGATTGCCGTTCCCTGATAGAAATCCGAGGCCGTTTTGTCAACACACATCTCGTCTTTGGGGTTTAACTGGCGTACAAGATGGGTTTCGTCAGTGAGGTTGTATTGACAACCTAATGCTCAGGTAGAACCTTTGTCAAGCACCAAGAGTGAAACCAATGAGCAATTGTCCAAAATGATTGCAGTGTGGCCACAGGAGAATATCAGAACCTTTTGGCGAGGGCTTGTGCTTGCTGCCGTGGCATGAGTTGCATTCACCAAAGGTGTTGATCAAGCTTTCGTCACGGAGGAAACCGTTATTTTGCAGTTCGATGTTCGCTTTCATTCGCAAACACGGGAAAGCTGCTGACCCGACAATTTGAAGGCGCCAACCATTGCGAATAGAAATGGCTGGAGGGCACGGCCTGGCTCAGCTATTACATCTAACCTTGGGGCCCGCCCGCATATTTGAAACTGTACTCCCGCTGAGAAATGGCGGGCAGGCATGCTTGCACACGTCGCATTGGGCATGCACACACACAAAAAGACAAACCACCACGTGCCTGCAAGTTTGTTGCATCAGCGATGAACCAAGGTCAAAATCCTTGTGCTGGTCACGGACATGGTCCTTTTGATAGAAGCCCCTTTTGACGTGTGTTTAGCTACATTGTGGTTCCCCCCAAAACAATGCATGGAGCAGTTTATGGATTTCCGGGTGAAGTTTGGTTAACCAGCAACTGTTGGGAAATGCGAAGCGCCCTTTATACATTGGAGCCTCCCATTGAGTTACATGCAAGGTGGTCAGAAGCATCCCCTCCTCCAAGGCGATCGCCAGCATGAACTCCGCATCGCACCTTGGAGCTCATAAAGCTACATCCCAAAGAACTGGCCTGCGAAATCTGGGATGTTCCATGGATGGCGTGTGGTGATGTTGACTGGTTGAAATGAGGCTATTCCACTTCATATTGTGGGCAAGGCCACATGTCCTCTTGAAATGATTCAAACAAATGGTGAACATGGAGAACGCCTTCTTCCGATTGGGGGGGGATACTGGCACGTGAAGCTACCATGATAACGGTGTAAACCCTTGATTTGCCAATCATCAGCTGCAGAGCTGAAGGGCTTCAGCTCAAAGAAAATGTAGTTGTGATGACTCAACTCACCTAAGGCCAGGTGTCAAACACCTAAGGCCAGGTGTCAAACTCCCCCTCGGCCCTCGGCCGGTCGCATGGCTACGCCCATTTTCTTGCAGCAAGTGCAAGACGTGACAGCAGAGGGCAGGCTGGACAGGCTCAAGCCGCCGAATCAGCGTTCCGCTGAGTTCGGTATCAAGAAGCCAGCCCAGGTGCCGCAACGCAAGGGGCCTGCTTTGGGCAAACAGGGAAAACCAACCTGAGCCTGCATTTCGCCGAGATGGAGCTGTCTGATTCAACACACATACGCCTGCAGCACCTTTCGTCGGAGCACGGTCTGCAAAGCTGGCTCAGGTCACCGCAAAACTTGAATCGGGTGAGGCTGGGCAAAGCTTGGAACCCTGAGATCATTGAGCATGAGCTTGTAGTCTCCATGAACTTTCCTACGGACTCTTGTCTAACCATCCCAAGAAGTGTCAAGGTACAAGTAACCGTATAAGCTGTGTGTGTGTGTATGTACTGAGACCCATGCAAAAGCTCCGTTCAACTTGACGTTGGGGTTCGCCAATCTGTGCCAGCCCCAGATTCGTCGGCGCTCTACGCTTAGCGTGAGCGCATATGCTACAAAAATAAGAGCCGGTAGTCTGCGAATCTAGGCACGAGAGCCATAAAGCTGACTGCCACTATCGGTGGGGCTGGGAGCTCCGAAACGTTCCTGCCGGGGCTTTCGAGCCATCAGCAGGGCAAAGAACCCCACGCATCCTGAGATAACTGAGATCACCATGGCCACCGCTGCCAACACAATCGGCATGTTGTCTGTTGTGGGCGCATCATTTCCGGCGGCCTGACAGGGGTCCAACTTCGAATCAACTGGCACCGTCACCTGAAGGCTTCAATGACATGTTCTGAACGGATTTAGGCAAACCCCAAAGCTGACCAGTGTAGCTGACTGTCAATCATGCTTTGCCTAGCATTCGCCTGTTCCTGCTCCCCCGAGGGCGTCTGCATCCCCGCGCGCAGCTTGTTCAAGGACTCTTGCATCACGTCGCTGTCGTAGATGTCATGGGAGTGGCGCTTGGCGCTGATGACATTAACCTCGCATGAATCTTGTAGCCACTTCTTTTGACAGGCTGGGTGTTGCAAATTGCAAGGAAGTTACATCAAACACACCAGGAACATGTTAAGAATGGTTCTCCGCCAATGTCTAGAAACATGCGCTACTGAGGCAGAATGTCAAATAAAAATCCAACGGAACGTACACATGCCCACTTGAAACAAACACTTGCATAATTCTGATGAGGATAGGGCCATTTTAGGAGGCACTGGAGGTTTCCAAGGAGCGTTTGCACACTTCAATTTCCTTCAACATCATTCAACCTGATTGCGGGTGACTTTGGGACATATGGTCTTTGGCTTTGGTGTGAAGCACATCGCGGAACGAGTTCTCTAGCCAAGACAGATCTGTACCGCACCAGCCGCCAGCGGGGAAGCTAGCCAGCCAAGCCAGCTTAGCGAACCAAAAGGGCTGCCCAAAAACATAAAAGCAGGGTGCTCCTGCTTCTAGTTACATTGGCTACAGTTTAGCCTTTCACGAAACAATGTTGTTTGGATATCTGTTGAATGGTTTCATTTGGCATTGGTGCTTTGATTGTTTGGCATTTGATTGTGTTGTTCGCATGGTTTTCATTTCTTAGAATTTTCCTGCATGTGTGTTGACTTTTCTCCGGCATTTGTTTGAATATGCTTGTTCGTTCTGCATTTGTTGAAAGTTGTTGAATTGTCCATTTTATACATGTGTTTGATGATCTTGACATTGTTTGAATGTGGTTGATGCTTTTTGCACTTGTTCTGCATTTGTTGAATGCTGTTTTGTGTGTTTGGAATGATTTCAATCGTTTGGAAGGGTTTCTTCATGCGTTTGCTTCGTTGGAACGTCTCCGTGTTTTTTGAGAGTTCAAATTCGTGGCACTGGAAGGAGCCATCCCAGATGGAGTGAGCCTTGCCTGTGCGGGATCCCGGGCCTGCGCCGCGTGGCCATGTGTGTCGCAATGGGTGGGGAGAAAACACATAACCCCAGAAAACCATTGAGCCATGTTCCAAGTCACCCTGGACACCTGTGCCTGAAGCGTGGGGCAGCCATCGACCCCTCTTCCAGGAATGTTTCGGCATCAAACAGAAGGAATTTGAATGAACACATATTTTCGAATATTTTGGAATGCAGCAGCTTGTGTCATGAGCGTCCTTTGATCAGTAGCCCTGACGTCATAAATGAGCAGCATATGCAAAGATCCGTGAACAACACACAGCAACACCGCCTTTCGAGGACAACTTATCCACAAAGTAAGACACAAACATATGTGCGCTGTGCACACTTGCAGCTGCATGCTTGCAAGGTTTGCGTTGTTGCCCGTAGACGCCCACACACTCTCTCCTGCA